CAAATGATAAAAATGGCCTTATTAAATAATCAGTGTTTGAAAATAACACGAAACTTGCAAAAATTAGCAATCCCAATGACTAAAGTCCCGCTGGTCTTTGTTAAGGGGGAAAAAACCAAGAAGCCAAATCAGTTAAGTCTAAATGAATTTTTTTCATACTTTAAATTTCAAATTGTTTTAAAAATTGATAAACCCATAATTCAAATTGCACTGATTTGCCATTTAGAAACTACAAGTATGTTTTTTAAAAAATCACAATTATGTTTTGCATGTGGCTTTTAAGAATGTTTTTGAAAACCAGCCATGTGAGAGACATACTCCAGCTAGGAGATAACAGCTATCAAAAGAATTCAAATAGTCTAGCTGTGCAAGAATTCTTTTATAAGATCTTTAACTAACAAAGGAGATTCTACATCAAAGATCTATGGTTATTGAAGTACATGAAAGGAAAACAGAGCTTGCTTTATCTATTCGATGTCAAGGCCACTCACTGTCAACAAGTACCACCTTGTAATGATGAAGTTTCTTATTCTTCTTCACAAAGTATCCCTACACAAGGTTAGCTACCCAAGGGCTCTCATCACCAGAAATAAAATAAAACTAATTTTGCCTGGTTTTCTTGCTGTTGTTGTGAGGTGCTTTCATGTTGGTTCCAACTCATAATGACCCTATGTGTAACAGAATGAAACACTGCCTGGTCCTGAGCCGTCCTCACTGTTGTTGCTATGTTTGAACCCATGGTTACAGCCACTGTATCAATCCATGTCATTAAGGGTCTTGTTCTTTTTCTTTCACTGATACCCCACTTGCCAAGACCCTTTACTGGTTCCTCTTGATAACATTTCCAAAGCACATGAGATAAAGTCTCACCATCCTCCCTTCTAAGAAGCATTCTGGTTATACTTCTTCCAAGATAGATTTGTTCATACCTCTAATGTCCATGATATACTTAGTATTCTTCACCAACATCATAATTCAAATGTATCAACTCTTCCTTGGTCTTTTTAAATCATTGTTCAACTTTTGAATTCATATGAGATGACTGAAAATATCATAGTTTAGGTCAGGCACACCTTAGTCCACAAAGTGAAATCTTTGCTTTTTAACACTTTAAAGAGGTTTACTGGAGCAGACTTGCTAATGCAATATGTCACTTCTTGACTGCTGCTTGCACGGACACTGGCTGTGCTGTTAGTATTGTTAAGTGCCATCAAGTCAGTTCCGACTTGTAGTGATCCTGTACAGAGTTTCCGAGAAGCAGCTGTCCAGTTTGACCCACTGATCTTGTGGTTCACAGTCAAGTTCTTATCCTACAGCACAGCACCAGGATTATGGATGCAAGTAAGATGAAATCCTTAACAACTTCAATTTTTTCTCCATTTATCATGATATTATTTATTGGTCCAGTTGTGAGTATTGTTGTCTTTACATTGAGGTATAATCAATATTGAAGGGAGTTTTCTTGAAACTGAGTAAGCTGGAAATTTGCAAAGAAGCTCTGGTGGTATAGTGAGTTACACGCTGGGTTGAAAATCACAGGCTTGGAAGCTTGAATCTGCTAGCCACTCCACAGGAGGAAAATAAGGCTATCTGCTCCCATAGAGGCTTCTAGCCTCAGAAACCCTATACAGGGTGGCTAAGAGTTGGAACCAAAGTCCTGGTGTGGCACTGTGGGTCAATGCCCTGGACTGCAAAGTTGGTTGGAACTACAAAGTCAGCAGTTCAAGCTCACCAGCTGCTACAAATGGTCACCTATACAGAGCCTGGACCAAGAGGCTGTAGTTCAAACAGAA